AATAAATAAATAAATAAATAAATAAATAAATATTTAAAAAAAAGAAAAAGAAAAACTATAGTTATTCAGGCATCTTCAGAACAGCTTACGATAGCCTCTTCGTAAGTATTGCCAAATGCAGTATTGGTTATTGTATTTCTTTTTCAGGGATGTCCACACCCAGTTATATAGCTTACAAAAACATGGTCTTCTCTCATTCTTCTGTAAGTTGTGAATGGATAGTTCACAGAAAAATATATCCGTTTCTCTTTTTTTCTTTCAGCTGCGTTTGGATGAAGCACAGGAAGCAGAATGCCAGGTTTTGAAGATGCAGCTGCAGCAGGAACTGGAGCTATTGAATGCATATCAGAGCAAAATTAAGATGCAGGCTGAGGCCCAACATGATCGAGAGCTTCGAGAGCTGGAACAGAGGGTCTCCCTTCGCAGGGCACTCTTAGAACAAAAGGTATAGATAACAGAAGCAAGAGAGTTCTTTTAGTATTGGTTTTTATCAAAAGAACTGTGTGTGTGTGTGTGTGTGTATTGGAGATGGGGTAGTGTATTTTTATTTTCTTCCAATATATATGTATGTTATATTGTCTGTGTACATATGCATGTTTATGTGTGAAGACAGGCTTTTGTGCCATGGGTTGTGTGGAAATCAGAATAATGTCAGGTGTCATTCTTCATTTTCCACCTTGTTTGTGGTAGCTAACCCACACTGCTTTCCATTTTACCATAATCACAGTAGAATTACAAATGTGCCTTTTCACACTTTGCTGCTCTCCCTTCCTCCCCCCCTCCCTTCTTATGAGACAAAGTTTCACGATGTAACCTGAAGCTGGCCTGAAGCTCTATGTAGACCAGGCTAGCTTTAAACTCACAGAGAAGGTACACCAGTATAGCTGACTTGTTCTAGCTTTTTTGGGGGGGGGGGGGCAGGTTTCGAGACAGGGTTTCTCTGTAGCTTTGGTGCCTGTCCCGGAACTAGCTCTTGTAGACCAGGCTGGCCTCGAACTCCCAGAGATTCCCAACCCCAGTTCTTCAAAATGTATGAAGTCTTACTTCAAATCTTTCCTCCAGATGAATAGCCTCCTAGATGCTGGAGTAGCAAGTATATATCATGAAGCCCAGCAGTGAAGTCCATTTAAACAGTAAAAGGAAAACTTTCTGTTGCATACATGAGTTGACAATCAGAATCTACTGATTAATATTAATAATACTCAAAAGATGGGACTGGAGAAATGACTTAGTGGTTAAGAGCACTGGTTCAATTACCAGCACCCTTATAATAGCTCATCACCACCTGTAACTCCAGTTTCAGAGGATCTGAACTTTCCATGAGTACCAGGCACACACATGGTGCAGACAAAATACCCATATACATAAATAAAAATAATTCAAAATGTTTTTATTTCATTAAAAGAAAGATCAAGCCTTGCATGGTGACACATCAGCCATGCCAGTGCTTGGGAGGCTTGAGGTGGGAAGATCCATAGTTCCAGCATAGCACAAACTACATAAAACAATGAGCTGTTTGAACGGACACACATCTTATGTAATGTAAAAGGTAGTATCAAGCTAAGCGTTGGTGACGCATGCCTTTAATCCCAGCACTTGAGGGGCAGAGGCAGGCAGATCTCTGATTTTGAGGCCAGCCTTGTCTGCAAGAGCTAGGTCCAGGACAGGCTCCAAAAGCTAGAGAGAAACCCTGTAGTATCTAATTGGTAGTGTTTTCCTAGCATGCTGGAATGCTGGAGACCCATGGTGTAATCACCAGTACTGACTTCATCCATTGCCACCCCCCACTCCCAGATGTTTTGTTTTGTTTCTTCAAGGAAACTGATAAGATGGTATGCCATATCATGCTGAATCCAGTTCTTGTGCAGTTTGGTTTGGTTTAAAACATGCATATGCTGTCCTCTGGCACAGAGAATTATGACTGATGCAAGAAGATCATGAGTTTAGGCCAGTTTATATCAAATGACCAATTTGTCAATCCTTATTTAACTTAAATATAAACATCCCTCTGGATCTACCATTTATAGAAAATATTTAAAGTAGAGCACAAGAGAAAATACTAAATGATGACATCAAGATGTAATTGGTCAAATCCAGAATTTAGACATTTTTAATAGAACAAATGAGCCAGTTTACAATGTGAAGGGTGAGGGAATGGACAGACTGCTGTAGACTAAAAAAAGTTAAGGGTAAATAACAAAATGTATGGTTTTTGTTTGGGCCTCAATCCAAATAAACAAGTTATAAACAAGACTTTTGAGATATTAGAAATTTAAAAATTAAAAATTTGTTATCAGTTTATTAGATATCACAATGAAGTGGTTATTTTGTTAACTGTTATTAACATGAAATCAAAAAGTACAGTCTAGCTGGACACTCCAGATGTAGGGTCAGGATTGTGGGTTCCAGGCTGTCTAATCTATAAATTGAGTTCCAGGCCAGCTAAGGTTACACAGTGAAATCTTGTCTCAAAATCTTTTTATTTGGGAATAGAATGTTTTCCAAAACCTGTAGACACTTTGGCTATAAAGAGGTAGATTTTGGCAGTGGTGGCAGTGGCATACACCTTTAATCTCAGCATATCTTTTATTTTATTTTGTTTTGCTTTTGTTTTTTGAGACAGGGTTTCTCTGTGTAGCTTTGGAGCCTGTCCTGGAACTAGCTCTTGTAGACCAGGCTGGCCTCGAACTCACAGAGATCTGCCTGCTTTTGCCTCCCAAGAGCTGGGATTAAAGGCATGTGCCACTACTGCCCGGCTTAGCATATCTTTTAAAATAATTTTCTGTATATAGCCATAAAATAGCTGTTGGTTGTTTTGAGTAGTTATTGTTGCTTTAGCTTATTATTGATTTGAGACATAAATTGATTCTTTTGCTCCATTTTCCTACCCTGACAGATTGAAGAAGAGATGTTGGCTTTGCAGAATGAACGCACAGAACGAATACGTAGCCTGCTTGAGCGTCAAGCCAGAGAAATTGAAGCTTTTGACTCTGAAAGCATGAGACTAGGTTTTAGTAACATGGTCCTTTCTAATCTCTCCCCTGAGGCATTCAGCCACAGCTACCCAGGAGCTTCTAGTTGGTCTCACAATCCTACTGGGGGGCCCGGACCTCACTGGGGTCATCCCATGGGTGGCACACCACAAGCTTGGGGCCATCCAATGCAAGGTGGACCCCAGCCATGGGGTCATCCCTCAGGGCCAATGCAAGGGGTCCCTCGAGGTAGCAGTATGGGAGTCCGCAATAGCCCCCAGGCTCTGAGGCGGACAGCTTCTGGGGGACGGACAGAACAGGGCATGAGCAGAAGCACGAGTGTCACTTCTCAAATATCCAATGGGTCACACATGTCTTACACATAATAATTGAAAGTGGCAATTCCGTTGGAGCTGTCTGCCAAAAGAAACTGCCTACAGACATCATCACAGCAGCCTCCTCACTTGGGTACTACCATGTGGAAGCTGAGTGCAAATGGTATATTTTATTCGTTTTTGTAAAGCGTTATGTTTTGTGTTTACTAATTGGGATCTCATAGTATTTGGCTGCCGGGTATTTGTGGTTGGCTTTTTGTTTCCTTGTTTTTAACTTTTGGAAAATTTTAAAACTGGGAATAGATAAATATTTCATGTGTGTGGCAAAAAAGAAATTGGCTTAATAGAAGGGGTTTTATCAGAACAATATAAAAATAAAATGAAGCATACTGCCCTGAATCATCACTTTAGGATGTCCATAGCCTAAGAAGTTTATTGAAAGATCTAAAGCCTTCCTCCATATTTCAAATTCTGTGAGTCACTGACAGCAGGCAGCGTCTGTGCTGAAACATGTTCTTACTGAAACATACCTCCACACCTTACCAGTGTGTTTCCTTTCTTTATGAAATTGGTCTGACTTATCAACCTTGTTTGGACTAAAGCAGAAAACCATGAACATTAAAAGATTGTATTTACCTTTTCAGGTGGTAGAAGATCATTTAGTTTTTTGCTAAGTGCATCAGAAGTTTGTCCCTGATTTTGTAGGTTGTATTGTTGTTAAGATGGCATTGCTTAAGGAGATCATAAGCTGTGTGGGGATTGCACTAACAAGCTTGTCAGCAGCTATCAGGAAAAAAACAGAGGGTTGGGACCCTGAAAGTTCCTGTGATGCATGTGTTCAGCATGGAATGAGGAGATAAAGCCTATGTATCATGATATTTTGTTTCTTGTAGAGTGATAGCTCATGCTACCCAAATTATAAGACACTAAAAAGTACCTTTGCTTTGTTTATACAAAATCAAAGACACTTAGCCAACACAAAGCAAATGCCAGAGTTATTTGAATGATGCCATATTTGTGAACTGCCATCTATTAGAATACTCATCACACTACATAGACATAATTTTATTTATCCCTCTTTTGGCTTATGGGATTTCCTGTTTACAAGTAGCAATAGTCAATTATTTAAATATTTAGTTGCCACTAGGAATCACTGAGCCAATGACCACCAGCTGCTGACTAATCTTCACACTGTAGATGTTGCTTCATCTGCAGGTTCTCTATGTTTAATTGCTGTTTTTGTTGCTGCAGTACCTTACAAACTTTTAGTTCATTGAAACTTCATGTTACTTTCCCACAATAGTAAAGTTCCTTTCAGAAGTCTCTAGCTTAGTGCTAAAATACTACTGAGGAAGAAACTAGGTAGTTTGAAGAGTGAAAGAAAACAACAACAAAAATTAAAAGTAAGTTATAGTGACCAAGGACCACTAACCTGGGAGTGTGTTCTATGTTTTCTTCAATGAAGGATTAACCCAGTGTTATAAGTCAGTGCTAGTTAGTATCCTCCAGTTGCTTGTGTAGAGCTTGAGGTGGAGGTAGGCAAGGGGCAGTGCCGTGTTTAGTGACAGACCAGAGTTTCTTACAAGTTATTGTCCTGCTCCCTCTTCAGTTGTCTTGAAGAGCTCTTGCTGCTAACTCTGGGTCCTGCTTTTCCTGTAATTAGAAGGCAAGAACACACTTAAGCATACTTAGAACAAACTAGCGACCAAATTGTCATCTGCCACTATTGAAGTTCTTGGTTTTCTTAACAACAGATTAAATCTCGTCCAGGTATGTCTGTCATTCCAGTCTCTATGACTTGCCCCCTTAGGGAATTTCTGACTTTGGGTTGAGGGTTTCTGACACTAATTAGAAGAGAAATTAGATCAGGGTGTGGTGGCATATACTTAAAATCCCAGCAATTGGGAGGTAGGAGTCTGGGGTTCAAGGCTGCCTTCGGCTGTCTCACAAAGGAAAGAAAAGAAGATGCTATTATATAGATCCTTTGAAAACCAATATAAGGTTGGTGGCAGAGTTCACAGAGCCAGGGTTTTAAACATGATCTATATCAGTTTTTAGGTAAACATAGTTAATGAAAGGGGCTTTTTAAGTTTTTTTTCTTCCTGCATTCAAAATTCTATTCAAGAGTTTCAAACAAATTTGAGAGTTCTATATATTTGAAGGAAATAGGGAAAGCTTTAAATTTAATAGGATGTTCAAAACTAAAAGAAGACCATCTTTATAAGATGATCTTATAAAACCATTAAACACCATGCTTCTGCATCTGGCCCTATCCACTTCTGGAGGGTTAGAATGGGAAAGTAAATCAGATGTGAATAGAAAATTCCTTCAGACTCCAAACCAGAGATACATTTTATAGTCTAGCTGTGAGTTTCACTTGGTCAGATTGAGTTGCTGAGTCCATTTTGATCATAATGTACTCATACTAGTGTGACTGAGTAATGACTATGTGTTGTGTCCAAAAGAGATTTCTGCCTCATCCAATTGTGTGGCACCAGTTTTCCCATATAGGTCACGATTATACCATCAGTTTAGTTAAAATACATGTTGTTTGCAAAATGATTAGTGTTAATGGATTGTGTGTAAGCTATAAATAACTTCTGAGTAATCGTGTACATGGCAGAAACCGTGACAGTAAAACCTGGTAGCAGGAAAATTCGAAAGGGTTTAAAATACCCTGAAGACAGGGCACGCACTTTCTGGGGAAAAAAAATGTGGAAATGTCAAAGTTTGACCAGTTTAACACTACCTCCTCCCCATTATCATATGTGTGTTTAAGAAAGTGAGAAGTGTGGAGAACATGTGCAGCACACCAGAAGTTATGATCTATATCTGGTATCCAGAGCCTAGTGGGGAAACGTTTCTTGTTCTCCCTTTTTGGGGTCAGCATTTTAAACATACATAGCTTCATATCTTAAGACATTTTATTCCTAATTAGATTCCCCACCCTTTGCACATAAGTTTTCCTTTAAACTTAGCTCTAACCCTAAGTTGTGATGTCAGAAAGTGTTTGCATTGTGTAAACAACGTTAGCTGAAAGCGAGTTTATTTCATTAGAGCTCCTATTTTCTGTATGTTTCTTTAACCAGAGCTGAACAGTCCTGAACATGGAGTCACACCCACAGGTGAACACACTCAGTCTCAAGTCAAGGCCTTGCTAGTAAATGGAACTTTGTGATAGTTATTATGATTTTTTTGACTGCCTGGACATCAAGTAAACAACATTCAGAACACTAAGGAAAATGTTCTAGAGATTCCATCCTGCTACTAACAATTTTTTTGTGTACATCCTTTTTTTGTTTTTCAGAACTTAAGGCAGAATTCAGTAATTTTGTGCTTCTGTAAATGTCTAGCATTTTAAGCATATATAGACTACATTGTTTTGGACACTGGAATAATATGATTTATTTTCACCTATAAAAATGACTTCATTGTACTTGAACACCTTTGCATTTCTCCATTTGTGCCATTTACAAGTGGAAATAAATTGTATTATACCATGATCTACTGGCTTTTTAAAACTGTTACATATGCACATTTTTGGTATAGCTATTTTCATTTGTATGTGTATATTGTATGTATATTTATATATATGAGTGTCTATATGTGTGTATAGATGGATGGATAAACTCATTCTATACATGTCTGCCAGGGCTCAGTTTTGAGTTTTGTTGTTTTCTTTTTTATCTTCTGTTAAGGCAAGGATGTGTGTGTGTTTTTAAAGAGTACTCTGAGCTGATATTTATGAGAAGGTGATTAGTAGATTCAGTCGTTTCCTTTTTAATCCCCTAGCACTTGTATGAGTGAAGAGAAAGTTAAGTAAAATGAAACCATAAATTTCAGTGTAGTAAAACCATGATAGGGAAGGAGCCAGTTGGTGTTTTTTTGAGTTTGTTTTACAATGCAATAAAAGATAAAAGCAGGAGAAAAGTGAACTGTACAAAGAACACTGGTGGTGATTTTCCACAAAGGTGAAAAGCCAGTGATCCATTCTTTGTTGATGTCATGATCCTCCACTCTTAATACTGATAGTTCTGGATTTTGCTGAGGATCAAAACTGCCAAGAAAGAAACTACTACTAAAACATATCTAAGGTTATCCTAAACTGTAAAATCACAGGAGATGGTTACTGGGAGAGAAGGCATGATACTGGTTTGAAGGGCTGTCTCCTTTTAACTTACTCTTCTTGCTTGCTAATAGTAAGTTCTTTATGCACCTTCGACCCCTTCTGAGCCACTACTATTCAAGCAGATATTTGGTCCAATGCAATATCCCTTTCTTAGTTTTATTTCTTTTCTTTTGAGACAGGGTCTTGCTTTCTGGTCTGGTAACTGATGTTTACCCAAGACTGGCCTCAAATTTCTAGCACTCCTATCCCAGCCTCCCAAGTAATGGGATTACAGGTGTGAACCACCATGCTCAGCCACAGCAACCCTTTCCTTCGGAGGTTTTATAGTTCTGCATTCGACTCATGTTCAGAATGTGAAGTGTCCTAATGTGTATTAACTTCGGAAAAACAATATATTTAAGCTATCCTAAGTGTGAATCTGCTATAATGAGAAATTCTCACTTCTTACATAGAGCCTTCTCTAAGGAGCAAAGTCAAAATGTGGGCTGTCATCGCTGAGCTGCTTCTCAAATTACAGATCATTATTGAAGATAAATACATTGTTTTGTTTCCCCCCTTTAACAGAAGTCTCCCTTCCCTGTTTAGTATCGCCTTTTAAAAGGCGCTCATACTTAGTTAAGAACTGGAAATTCCCACCCTCGGATTCCTTAAAGGATGAAGAGTGTGCTGTACACTCAGCATACGTGCCTCTTGTATGCAAGGACTACTGATTGACGTCTGTTTTGCTGTGTCTGGTTATGTTGTCTGCACTTTTATGAAATCACTACAGTAGATCTACATTGGAAATAACTATTGATTTGTAAAGAAATTTTTATTAAACACTGTAGAAAAAGAAAGTAAAGCGGAGAACTCTTCCTTTTTGTGCATTTATATTTTCTGCTGAACTCTGGTAGCCCATTTTAAAGTTGTATTGACTTGTTGGTTTTCCTCTTTGATTATATTCAGACTTCCAAAGTTTTATTCAAACAAGTGCTGGCCTTCAGATTATAAATGTATGAGATATGCACCGTATCTGCCTATTGCAGACTTTTGAAACTTGCACTGCCCATTCATGCAAAAATAAGTATCTTAAGAAACAGAAAACACAAACTGGGGAGCCATGTACTGTGTCACCATATCTGTTAACTGTTTCCAGCAACCCAAACTGTGTGTGTGTGATATTGGTGTGTGAGTGAGTGAGTGTGATTTTATTTTGCTTTGCTTTCCTTTTAAATATACAAGGGGTTCTTCTTCAAACAGAGGAAAAAGTTAATCCTCTCCAGTTGATGCCCACTGGATATAATAATCTTTACATCTGTAGGTAGTTGGAAATATGAAGAGAAGAGAAGGTAAGACTTCTCAATGAATGGAAAAGGGTATCTTGATGCTCAAGAATCCCCCCTCCCCTAAAAGTACGGGTAATTCAACCTGCACAGTTTCCTTTCACTTGTAGTTTAACAATTATGAGTGAAAAATCATGTAATTATCTGTAAATATGTAGCTAACAAATTGACCTAGTTTCTGTATTTTTTGGTTTTGTACTAAAGTTTATAGGTCTGTGCCAGCTAGAGAGGAGTTGCTGTCATTACTAGTTGTGGCTCTAGCATTTAACCCTGAAACCATCCTAGGTGACATTTTTAGAATTAACGCTTAAATATTGTTAAACAGGGAGAAATGGAGCTTAATCATTGGTCAGGTTTGAAATCTTTTGAAACTAAGTAATTTTATTTAATATGATTACATGTTGTCAGTCATGAGTGAGGTGTAGGGAGTCTCCCTCCCCCAGTGGCCATGTTTACAGAGTGTTTGTCTATAAAGTGCAAGTGTGTTAATGTTATGTAAATTATGCAGGTGATAACTATGGTTTGGGACTGTTTATGGGCTCTTTTAACTGAACTTTAAAATGAAATGAACTATGCTTATTGCTGGCACATCGATCCCATTTCTGGAACATTTTTCCTACGTCCAGAATTCTGTATTTTCCTTGACATTATCCCCACTTAACCTTCCTCTGATATGCCTTGTAGCTAAGATATTAAAGACTGTTGAACATAGATGAGGGAAATGTGTTTCTTAAAAATCCATGAACCCTCAATTGTATGCTTTCAGTATTGTGTTATATGTTTCTATGGCAACTTTGAAGTCAGTGGTTTAGAAATGAGATACCAATGTTAATGAAAAAGTATGTACTCTTTGCTTTTGCATGGCTTGGCTTAGTATACAAGGTATATTAGAGCCACTTGAAAGCATGAAGACCAGTTATGGAAACAGGTTTCTCTTAGTGGCACATTTTGCTTTTTCTTAGCCCTCAAATACATTGCCTCGGCATGAACATTATTGTTAATATAAATTGCACATGATCATCAAGCGAATTCTGTAATTTTGAAAGATGCAGCTGCCTGATGTCTGCAGTTTGGTTGGTCTCTATCTAAATAACAGTGTGGGTATGGGAGCCCTTCTTGCCCTTTCTTGGGTCTTAAACAGGTCTATCAGTTTATCAAGGTGTTGGCTGCCCCTGGGGTATTGCCATGCTGTTGTCTTTGCTGCCCATTCATCCCACGTGTGCTGTGTCCTTCCTTGCATGTCATACTCTCAGAGAAACCATCATCCTTTTTTCCTAGCAATTTTATTTTGCCTTTTCTTCCACATTAAATGGGAATTGTGCCTATTTAGATTGCCCCTCTAGTTAAATACAACTGTAACCCAAGCCAGAGACAAGGTGGTAAAACATTTTTTTTTCAAGTCCACTTGGCCAGTAATTTACCTAGCAAACTTACCACATTATCTTGACACTTGATAGAAGAGCCTGTTAGGAGTCACGTGGTTTCATAGAGTAAAGTCCAAGTGAAGAGGGATGTGTGGGGTTTCCATTAGGAAATAATTTTGTTATTTTACTTTTTATGACCCTCTGCTAGTTTAGAATAGGTTTTCTCTTTTTTTAAAAAAAAAATTTTTTTTTAGGGAAGTTTTTACAAAAGCAATGGTCTGATGTAAATAACCTTTTAAAGTACAGTGCACATAACTTCCCTAGGCTGTTCCAACCTGACTTTGTAAATGCTTTAGAGTTTTTAAATTAACACTTGTGTTGCTAAATCCTATTTATGTAAGTCTGAAAAGGTTTTTATCCCATGTAAAACATTTAAATAATGCAGGTTATAATGAGCAAGTTAGCTTTGAGAACCCCTCCTTTTAGTATATGAAAAGCCTAATGCGCATTAATGAGGTTGGAGAGACTATGAGAAATATGTATAGTGTATATTTTAAACAGCTTTGCTTGTATTGTGAAGATTTAAGAACAAACTTGAGATTTTTAAAGTTAACTATTAACACAGTTTTAATGTAAGTTATCCCACTGGGTTTAAAAGCATCTTGAATGTATAACCCTTCTACAACCCAGGTTGGTTTCTGCTTTTACCGAATCATCTAAACGTTATTTATATTTTTAGTTTTATGTACTCATTTCTTTTCATTTTCCTCAAACAGCATGGGTTTTTTTTGCACATGTAGAAATTTTTAAAAAGAAGGAAATTAATACATGATTTTTCTCTGAATTTTCTTCACTTCAGTCTTTCTACTAACCTCTTAAAGGCCATGGCATTCCATTTGCTTTATTTGTGCAAATGCCAGGGCTGGTTTTTATTTTATTTTTGCTATTTACCTTTAAAAAAAAAAGACAATGCTTCAATCAATTGCTTTTTTTTTATTTAAAATTTAAAAAAAAAGAAAGAAAAAAAAGCTGTAACCTTATCATTTCTGAGTAGACCATTGAGAGAGAAGTGCACACCTGTCGTCCCAGGACCAGCTTTGGTGGCTAAAGGGAATATTTTAACTAAGCGAGACGTTCTGTACAAAATGTGGAATGTGCTATCCACAGTCTATTTCAGTTATTCCCACAAGTCAGGTCCTGATAAATGAGGGTTATCAGCTAACTGATAAGATATCATTGAGGTTCGTCAATGAATTTGTACATTTCTAGTTCCCTTTGGTGAAGGGGAAAGTGATTTTGCAAGACCTAGATTTTGGCTTGGTTTCTTGCCTCCTTTTTTGGCAGCCTTCATCTTTTCCTAAAGCCCTTGAGCCTGTAGGGTTTTTATAGTGGACAAAGGACTTATGGTCTTTAAAACTGGGATAGATTTTGGGGGAAGGGCAAGAAATTATCATATTGAACATACAGTATCCTAACACTTTTAACAGTGGATAATTTTGAGTAAGCCCAGTCCTTTCCAATTTTAGACTAAACAGATGCCCACAGTGGAGGCTTACAAGGGTTGCGATGAGGAAGAAGCCTCTCCCTCTGTCCGCACCAGCTGGTAAAGGTGACCGCAGGTGTGCGTTTCCTTCTGGTAGAAATGGTCCACAGCACTAACTGGTAAGGCTATTGTACAGTATACTGTCAGTATTCTCTGGTTCAGCATACCTTATAGTTCGTATATAACCTGTATTAATTGTATAGATTGTGCATTTAAAGCTGTTACCAAGTTGTCAGAACCTTAAGAACGAAAACAGGTCATATGTAATATTTTGTTTGTAAGTATCCTTTGTATCATAGCAAAGGAAATGTTTAAAAGATCAACTGTAATAAAAGTAATTTTAGTACACAGAGTGTCTGCTCTTTTTTAAAATTTTTTTAAGATTTACTCACTTTTATGTGTATGGATACTTTGCCTGCATGTATGTTTGTGCACTTTGTGTATCCCCGGTAACAGAAGATGTCAAAAGAGGGCATCAGATTCCCTGAAACAGGAGTTACAGACTTGGTGAGCCCTGAGAACTGAACCTGGGTTCTCTGAAAGAGCAATAAGGGCTCTTCTCTGTGCTACCTTGACTGGCCTTGAACTCAGAGACCCTCAGAGCCTCTGCCTCTGCCTCCCAGTCGCTGTGATTAAAAACGTGCCGCCATGTCATGCAGACTAAGTGCTGTTAACCAGTGGCACATCTTTTAGCCCCGTTTAGTTTTTTAGTGAATTTTTTTCTGTAAGGGTATTTCAGATACAGTGCTAGCTAGCTGTGAGCTGACAGCTACATCACCACCCCTGCCGCTCCCCCCACTGCGTCAGAATGGGGGTTTAAATGGTAATGGTGCTAGGAATTGACCCCAAGGTCTTTAACACAGTAATCAAGTGTTCTACCACTGAGCTTCATCCCCAGCCCTCTTTAACTTGTTTTTTTTTTTTTTTTTTTTTTTTTTTTTTTTTGGTTTTCGAGACAGGGTTTCTCTGTGGCTTTGGAGCCTGTCCTGGAACTTGCTCTGTAGACCAGGCTGGTCTAGAATTCCCAGAGATCCACCTGCCTCTGCCTCCCGAGTGCTGGGATTAAAGGCGTGCGCCACCATCGCCCGGCTTTTTAACTTGTTTTTAAGCATTGACACATTTTATGTATGGGGGGGTGGGTGGTCATTTTCAAGAGTCTGTTCTCGCCTTCCACCATGGTCCCAGGAATCAGTCAGGTTTGGTGAGCATTATAACCTGCTTAGCCATCTTACCAAATGTTGTCTTCGTTTTGAGATTGTCTTACCCTATAGACCAGACTGGCTTGGAACTCAGTTGCCTGTACCTCTGGTCAGGTTAAAGGTACGTGCCCTTTAAAAACAAACAAAAACTAGGAGATCTACTTGCCTCTGTTTTCCACCTATGAGGATTATTAAAAGGCCTCTTAGCTACAGCACGGGATCTTTCTGAGTTTCCCAGGCTGACCTTGAACTTTCTTTCCATCCTCCTTCCTCGGCCTCCCAAGGAGTCGAATGTGCCTGTCACATTATGTGGCAGAACCAAAATTGGGTCCATTTTCAGTGTTTCTGCTTAAGTGTAGAAGAAATCAAGAGGGTTAAAATACAGTGTTTTTGCTTTGCTTCTACTGTTCAATTTACAGCAGAGTTCCTTTCCCTCCCCTCCCCCAGCCCCTCTTCCTAAACAGTAGAGAGTGCTAACTCCATGGCACCTGTGCTGTGCTTGCATCTCAGTGCTGCTCTTGAACCAGTCTTACTGTTTGTGTCCTGGCAATGAATGATGGTACTTTAATTTCTACTCTTTCCTTTGGGTGGGGGGGTGTTTGAGATAGGGTTTCTCTGTGTAACAGCTCTGGCTGTCCTAGAACTTGCTTTGTAGACCAGGCTGGCCTCGAACAGATCCACCTGCCTCTCTCCCGAGTGCTGGGATTAAAGGCGTGTGCCACCTCCCCCACTATTTATTTCCAATGCTTGTTTGTAATGAATAGAGGGAGTCAAGGTAAAGGGTGCTGTCAACTGTATGCAGCTACACACAGTGACTCGAGGGAATTTTTACAGGTGGACGTGTATGTGTCTTTGGAGTCGTATACTCCCAGCAGCTCCAAAGAGAGCCTTTTGGGGGGTTGGGTGGGAGTTGCATGTATGTCTGAGCACCACATCTGTACCTGGTGCCTGCAGAGGCCAGAGGAGGGCATCAGATCCCCTGAAACTAGAGTTACAGATGGTTGTGGATGCTGGGAATCAAACCCAGGCCCTCTGGAAGAACAGCCAGTGTTATTAGCCACTGAGCCAACTCTTAACTCCAAAATTTCTGCTTTTGTCACTATCTTTTAAAAGCCCAAGGTGGACATGCCCCACTACCACTTCAGACGGGAGCTTGTCGAGGAAAGCAGTTTATTTACGACATAACTAGAACTGGCTGGGTGGGACCGTAGCAGTAGGAGAGAGTTGACCTGGTGATCCTGAAACTCCTTTCACCCCGTACTCAGGAGGCCTGCCTGGTCTAAGGACAGTCAGAGCTGCACAGAAATCATGTCTTAAAAACCAAAAAAGAGAAAGAAAATGTGGGAAGAAGGGCAGCGGCATGAATTTGAATCAAGCGGACCCGAGTTCAATCTCCAGAAAAGGGAAAGAGAAACTGTAATGCCTTTGCTGCTCAGTGGGGTCTACCTTCCATTCTGAAGGGTGTGCTTCACACACACACACACACACACATACACACACACACACACACACACACACGCTAGGCTTAATCCCATTGCTAGGGAGGTAGTGGAGACAGACAGTTCCCTGGGGCTCACTGGCCAGCCTGTCTGTTTTGCTGGACAAGTTACAGGTCAGTAAAAGACCCTGTCTCAAAAAAGGGTGTGGGGCTGAGGATCCGTATTAACTTGGTAGAGTTCCTGTACCATACGCAGAAGTCTTTGAGTTCCAGTATAAGCAGCCCATAAACCAGGCATGGTAGGATAGTGCGTGACTGTAATTCCAGCACCAGGTAAGAGGCAGAAGGCAGGAAGTTCACGGTTATCCTCAACCAGATCTTAAAAGTTACATCTCTGAGAGGGGCTCTGAGGACATGGCTCAATGGTAAAGTGCTTGCTGCTCAAGGGTGAAGACCTGAGTTTGGATCCCCAGTACCCCACACGGAAGCTAGGTGCAGTGGTGTTTTGCATCTGTGTTTTGCACCCCAGCAGTTGGTGAGATGGTCATGAAAGCAGAAGGATCCTTGAAGCTTACTGGCCAAACAGTGTAGCCAGTCACTGAGTTCCGAGTGCAGTGAATGAATGTGAGGGCATTCACTGGAGAGCTCCGGCCTCCCCATGGACAAACTAGCACATAAACCCACACGTGTACACATCGTGCACACAAAATATTAAAAGTCACATCTCAGAACTCAGTCTAGTAGAAATAAGTTTTGGCTAAAAAGCATTGTGAAGCCTCTTTATTGGAGACATGTTCCTTAGAGGTTTTGGGTTCTGGCTGACGAATTCAAGTTGAAAAATGGCCTCCACAAGCCTTCACTGTCTCCTTTGATCCTGTCTTGTCTTACATACTAAAGCTCACACATGATCTCAATCTTTTCCTATGAAACAACTAATAAAATACCTTTTAGGTCACTGAATAAATTTTTGAGAAAGTGGGCAGTTGAAACGGGGTTTTGCTATTGTAGCAGGGTAGCCTCAAACTCGGACTGCTTCCTGTCTCAGCCTCCTGTATACTAAGATTACAGGTATGTAAAAAGCCTTCACGCCTGGCTTTTCCCAGGATCCTTTGAGTCATGTCAATTAGAGGTCTTGTAGCTCCAACTCATGTAATTCCTCTGACACATACTTATTACCCACTGGAATCTGTTTATGAAGCTACCGTTGATGAATTTTAAGGAATTTTAAGCCTGTTGAGAAATTATTAGCTCAGAGCAAGAGGACTGGTGGTTGATTTAAAGAGCTGTTTCTGGTTAGTGTTAGAGAACAGGAGGGAATGACCAGTGCATGCAGGAGGCTCTGGGAACTCCTTGGCATGTCAGCTGGGCTCAGTACACAGCAGACTAGAGGGCAAGCAGCACAAAGACTGGGCATAGTAGTGCACACCTTTTCTAAAATTTATTTTTATGTGCATTTGTGTTTTTGCCATGGGTGTTGGGGTCCCTTGAAACTGGAGTTACAGACGGTTGTAAGCTTCCATGTAGGTGCTGAGAACTGAACCCAGGACCTCTGGAAGAGCAGCCAGTGCTCTTAACCCCTGAGCCATTTCTCCAGCCCCGTGGTGCATGCCTTTGATGCCAGCACCTGGGAGGCAGAGGCAGGTAGAACTCTGTGAGTTCCAGGCCAGCCTGGTCTACAGAGTGGGTTCCAGGACAGCCAGGACTACACAGAGAAACCCTGTCTTGCAAAACAAACAAGCTCACACACATAAAACTAAAAAGAAGAGGCATTTATTGCCAGGAGAGGTGGCACAGAGGTCAAAAGCCACTTGTAAAGGTCCCGGGTTCCATTCCCAGTGCCCACATCAGGTTTTATAGCCACCTGCTTCAGAATCCACTCCCTCTCACCTCAGGCACCTGTACACAAGTCACAGACTCACCCCCAGACACATACATAAATATAATTAAGAATAATAAAAATAAATCTTAAAAGATGTTCAATTGGACGTAAGCCATCCTCAGGTCTTAGTGTATGCACTGCCTGTCACATGCCGAAGACCGATCTAGCATGAATATCTCACTGAAAACATGGGCCTTGCTAGTTTGAGGGCGTTCATTGCATTTCTGGGCACATAGACTCCTTGGATCTACCTTCTCAAACCTTAGAAAAGCAAACAGTAATAACTAGTAAAATGTTCTGATAGCCTCCGATGTGACTTGACCATGGCCTTGCACGATCTCCTTGTCAACATGTAAGGATAGCCAAATGGCTCATGTGTCTGCTTGCTGACATCTAAAGGAAGACACCTTGGTGATTCTGAGCACTTCTGACTGACACCGAGGCCTGCGGTTTGGCTGGAAGATGAGCACAGAGGCGGCTGTGATGCAGGTGGTTTTGAGGTTATACATGAAGCCAAGACAGTAGTTCCTGTGTAAGCCCTCTTTTTAAATAGCATTTGGGGCTTAGGAAGGATGTCTTTACACAAAACGGATGTCTTCTCAAAAGAGTTCTGGTGTTCTGCTTTTCATACTGTTGTCTCCAGCTACTAGAAACCTATATATAAGTACTAAGTCTTCACGAGAATGGTTACAGCTCAGTTCCGTGTGTGTGTGTGTGTGCGCGCAAGAGCGCGTGTGCACATGTGTGCAGGTGCACATGAAGCCAATAGCCCATGTCAAGTGTCTTTCTCCATTGTTCTCCATCTTACTTTTTTAATAATTTATTTTTATAAAATGATCATTGATAAGTGTTTTGCCTGCACATGTCTGTCTGTCTGTCTGTCTTTGTGAGGGTCTTGGATTCCCTGAAACTGGAGTTACAGACAGTTGTGAGCTGCCATGTGGTGCTAGGAATTGAACCTGGGTCCTCTGGAAGAACAGCCAGTGCTCTTAAGCTCTGAGCCATTTCCCCAGTCCCTTAGTATAGTCCTGATACCAGCAGTAAAAACTTAACAGGAATCAGAGATGGCTTCAGAGGCAATTGTGTTTCTTCTACTCTGCCTCCCTGGTAGAAACAGGGACACCATCTCCATTTCCTTCTCATATTTTATTTACTTATTTTTGGTTTTTGAGACATAGGCAAGGCTTGTTATGTAACTGAGGCTGACCTTGAACTTCTGATCGTCCCGTCCCTAACTCCCAAGTCTGGGATTGCAGGCAAAAGTCGCCACTCTCTGCTCAGTCTCTACTCCTGGGGGAACGTCTCCCTGAACCTTTGAGAGTGCTTGTGAGTAACCAAGGGAACAAAGGCTGCAGTAAGGAGATCTGCACTGACCATGACCATGACGGGGACCCACATGGAGACTCACTGGTGTTTCTTGGGGTTTGTTTTTTATTTCTTGTTTTGTTGTTGTTGTTCAAAGAGCCACAGCTTCTCAGAACAGTGTAAGAGTGAACAGCAAAATGGCTGTTTCACGTGGTTAGCTGTTTATCTAAACTGGATAAATCTGGATGAAGAGTAGGGTCACCCAAACCCTTCCTCCTTCAGCAGAAATCACACTTTCTGGTAAAGATTTGTCCGTGTGTGTGTGTGTGTGTGTGTGTGTGTGCGCGCGTTGTTTGCTTTTCTGTTTTGTTGTTTTGAGACAGGGTCTCAAGTAGCCCAAGCTGAACTCAAGCTCCTTCGGGGCTGACCTTGAACTTCTGAAGCTCCTGCGTCCTGCTCTGGGACTATCACACAGGTTCGCGCCCTGCTGAGGAAGGAGGCCAGGGCCTTGTGGGTGTGCGGTAAGTTCTGCCAGCTGAGCTCCAGCTCCAGCCTTCACTCCTAGTCTTTGAATAGTAATGGACAGATTTTTCTTTTTTAAAATTATGCAAGGTAGACATAGTGCTACACACTTTAATTCCAGCTCTCAGAAGACAGAAGCAGGCAGATCTCTCTGAGTTTGAAGCCAGTCTGGTCTATATAGTGAGTTGCCGGCTAGCCAATGCTACATTGTGTGATGCCATCTCAAACAACAACAATAATAATAAATTGCTCCCTGAGAATACCCTGTATGAGGAGCATGAAGGGGAAATGTTTTAGGGTTAAATCAGTGGGGCTTGGAACCCGAAGAACCTGAACAAGAGTTGTTCTGCCATTCCTCTGAGGGCTTCTACCATGAGAGTAGAGGGTGGAGCTCCAGGAGCTCTGGGAGCTCCGTGGTCAAGCGCTGCCTGGTATGTGCAAAGCCCTGTGCTTAACCACTAGCTCCACAAAAGAGAAGAAAAAAAACTTACTGTAAGTAAAACTCCCATCCCTAGCAAGCTTGCTTGTCTAAAAGAGAGAAAGAGAGAGAAAAGAAAAAAAGGCAAACCAGCCATTTTTTCTCACAAATGTTCTCTTGAAGAACAGGGATCCTGTGGCAGCTGGCCTAAAAAAATTGCCCAGATTTTTGCCATTAGGGATGCTTTCGGCCTTAGGGTTGAACTACCACCAGGCCGCTTCCCATCTTCCCATTATTTCTGAGGATCCAATGGCAAATGGGACAGCAGGACCCTAATTAACTGGAGTCCCTACTGTCCTAGAGGTGGGGGCAGGGGGGTGGCCATATGCCACAGGCTTCCTTCAGCAAGCCCTCCGCCGTGACTGTGGTTCACCAGAGACAGAAAACTTCCTCTTTCCCGTTCAGTTCCTTTTTATTTCTTTTGCTCAGAAGTGATGAAAGACTGCCAGAAGAGGATCGCTGGGGATGGGCTAGACTAGAGAAGACGGGGACAGGAGCTCCTCCCTTCACAGTAGGACATGTGCTGTAGAAAACTAAAAGTTGCCTGTTTTATATCTTGGAGCTAGTTCAGAGTTTGTTACTCAACCTGAAAGAGCAAGCGTGAAAGGTGGGGTGGGTTAGCGCAGGCTTTAATGCGCGCTGGTGGACATCAGGGTTTGAGAGCAGCCTGGTCTGCACAGTGAGTTCTGATCCAGGCAGAACACAAAACAATGTTAAAACAGAAAAACAAAAGAGTGGGAGGACAAGGTCACCCCAACCTGGAATCCCAGCCCCAGGATGTCCCAGAATGCCTTTGCTGTAAGATACTCTTTGAAATCATTTCACTGATTTAAATCTAAAACCGGTGGCTTATTTTCCATTGATAAAACTAAAAACTAACTTCTCGGCTGGATTTATGTAGCTCAGCTGTAGAGTGTTTGCCTGGCAAGTGGGGTCCGAGCACCACAAATAAATAAATATATATAATTTCAGGGTAGATTTTTGAATCTTAACAACACATGGCTCCAGATGTCCAACTGTCAAAATAATTTTTAAAGGTTTACTACAGTCCAGGCTATGTAAGTGGATCTGTGCGCTGTACCTTACTTATTTTACTCTGGTTTTTCAGCATCATCCCTCATCAACCCAAATGCCCGTTTAGTGGCTGAGCAGCTGGGGCCAGAAAGCAGTTTTTCTGCCTTTTGAATAATTGAGCAAGGCTGGGAAGGCGAGACACTCTTAAGTAGCTGGATTGCCTTCATCGGGCTCTTAGGATTATTCTGTCCTCTGATCCAAGATACCTCGCTGTCTCTGGAAAGGGAGAAGCTAGTACTAGAAGAAAAGTGATTAGAAATCCCGCTTGAGGGTTGTTTTTGTCACGTGGGGAAGGCTGCATCTCAAGAGGAACACATCTGGCTACAGCTCTCTGGAGCAGTCTCCTGAATCAGAACCGGGGAGGTGCATCTGGCCTAACCTGACTAGACCACAACCATGACCACAACCATGGTCTAGCAGAGCCCTTAGACCCTGGGCAACAGCATCTCCTATTCTAAAATACTCTTGGGAGCCGGTTCAGACCGGGCTGGAGGGCGTGGCCTAGAGGCCCATCTTAGTTCGCAGCCACCAAGAGAGAGGCAGGCGTCCAGGGACAGACTCACATTCTACCCTCGCCAGCATTTACCAAGCTGGCCTCAGCCCGACATGTCCTGCTTCTGCTGCCTTCTCAGACTGGGGAGAGCTAGGCAGCTCTGACCGCCTGCTTCCTCAGCTGCTAGTGCAGAAGTCGGAGCGGAACCACAACCGCAGAACACGAGAGAGCAGGACTGAGACACAAACATCCTGTCCTTCCTGTACCAAGAGGCTCCAGCTCGAGACTCAGAGTCACCAATCTGATTATTTATGTGGGACAGAACCACCCATTGACTCTTATAAGCTCATCTTCCCTAGAGTCACTGCAAGGGCAGTTAGCATTTTTTTTTTTCCCAGTCCTCTTAGCCCATGCTGTTACTTGGCTTGTGACTTTGATGACAGGAGACAGTAGGCTGAGCAAGGTGAGCAAGAATGTTGGTTGTCAGAGCCAGGACAGGGCGCTCACGCTGCAAGTTCTCTCTCTCTCTCTCTCTCCAGTTTGAAGGGAGAAGGGAGCAGAGCTCCCCGCTCAGTCCTCAGTCTTCCAGCTGCTGGGGTCCCTTGTTGAGAATTTTCTCAAAGGTGCAGGGGCCTCCCCAGGCAAGCTTCACCTGGTGTAAGACCGCTTCCAGCTAAAGATCTCCTCCAGATTGGAAGAAGGGGAGACCTCTCGCTTCTGCAGGCCTCCCCAACGACGCCGGCCCCCCAAAAATGAAGTCCTGCGCCTGCTCAGTCCTTTCATCCTCTCTTCCATTCTGAAGAATTCAGTCAGGGCCTTAAAGGACTCCAAGATAACCTCGTGGCTCCATGCTGGCAGGGGCTCAGGGCGCAGGAAGCCACAGTGGCCTCCATGGCTACTGAGCAGCAGGAAAAAGTAAGGATTGCTTTGGAAGAGTTCCGCGGGCAGAGTGTGGTCTGGGGGTCCACACACCGGATCATCAGCACTGCAGATACACAGGACAGGGACAGCAGCCTCATCCACGTCCCGGAGCGGGTCGTTCAGGTCCCAGTAGGTATCCCAGCTGATGGGGAAACTCTTGGTGTGGCAGAACAGGGTTTCCTCAAACTCTCGCAGGGAGCTGCTTCTGAACAATTTGCTGGTGTCTACTGTGTCCTCCAGGGCCGAGGCATACCTGGTCACCGAAGGTGAAAGGGGGAGCGGGAGAGAGAAAAGTCAGATGCAGGCAGAGTTACTGTGAGGCAGTCCCTAGGCTAGGGTCTGGCCACGGAGCCTTTTGAGCTACAGAAAAGAACAGAGCTGTTGGCAGGGGTCTCTAATCTCAGCACTCAAGAGGCAGAGGCCTGGTGGATCTCTGAGTTCCAAGCAATGACAGTCTTCTCTCTCTCTCTCTCTCTCTCTCTCTCTCTCTCTCTCTCTCTCTCTCTC